TATTTCTTTTCCCATCTTTAATTTTAGATTCAGATGCTGATAAAAAAATTAATAATAATAATAATAATAATAATAATAATAATAATAATAATAATAATAAATTAAAAAAAATGAAGAAGAAGAAGAAAGAAAACTCTGTTTTCAAGAATTTTGTAATTGAAAAATATCATAGATTCAAGTGTTGACTTATATAGATAAAAATATAATATGTATTGTATATTGATCAATTAAATGAATACTAAAAAGATAGAAACAAATAAATATATTGTTTATAGATTGTTATATCTAATATTGAGAAAAATTGAGTTGTTCAGATATCGACCAATCGAATTGATCGAATGAAAGAAGTCATGGGATGGGTCAAGAGGTAGTCTCAAAAACTAACCAATGATTGAGAATAAAATAGAGATTTACCTATTGCTCAATGCCATTAAAATTTGAACTCATTCCTACTCCTCTCTAAAAGTAATATATTTCTAACATGCTTTCAGCCCCACTAATTCTCTAGGAGCCAACTCATCCCAAATTGAATTCATAGTAACACAAAACTTGAGAAGACTCATATCATTCTGTTGTAAAGCCCGTATATCAATCTCCAATTGACATCGTTTTGCAAAATTAGATTTAGTGTATAACTTCTGAAAGTGATCCCAAACTTCTTTCGCTATTTCAAACTTCGCCGACTGTGTACCAATGAATTGCTTAATAGAGTTATGAATCCAAGTGAGAATTTTCGCATTATTTGACTTCTAATTATCTAACTCTATTACATAATTCGAAGCAGTGTTATCAGGTTTCACGACAGTTCACTAACATAACGCTATAATCGTTTTCCTTTTAAAAAATTCCTCATCACAGTACTCTAATATGAATGATTTTTTTACTATTTAATCTGACACTAATGAATTGAAGCGAATCATCCCTTTCAGTTGCCACCATGAAATCAACAAATAAACAAATACTAATAAAAAGAAATTAGCAAATTCCAAGAAACTCAATAACGACCAACTTACCAATATGAACTACCACTGGAATATACCGTACAGTGTACATATGACCAAATTATCACCAACAAATTGTCAGAAAGTCACCAAGAAAGAAACCGTCTCATTGAAGCGTCGCAAGAAAACCACCCATGCATTTGCACACGCTGCCAAAGCACTACAACTTCCATTCACGCACCGTCGAAATCAAAGCACGTGGTACTACATGCGCCGATCAAGTAGGATCGTCTTGTCGTCGTGAATCTAAATGTGGTCATCAATCGTCAAATGGAGGTTTTGTTTGAAAGATATTGTATATTTTCAGTGGCGGCTTAAGAGAAAATTAGGGTTTCCTACTATTTTTGATGCCACGAGTTGTTTGATAATTGATAGAACGGAAAAAAAATAATAATAATAAAAATAAAGCAACTTCAACACATATGTTTAGGCTTTGATACTATGATAATATTTAATCTTATACAAAGAATCAAACATATAGGGAACCAAAGAGAAAGAAGAAGAAGAAGAAAAAAACAATTGAGCCACCAAAAAATGAATTAGATGTCTAATGAAAAAACACACAAGTTTATATGTTGCAAGAGACTAAAAATAAAAGGAATCCTACAATAGAAGAAAACTAAATATTAGACTAATTATACATAATAATATTTTATGGAAATCAAATCAATATTACCACTCTTTACATTGACTACTACATATCATTTAAATACCACTAAAACTTTTATCTTCAAAAGTTTCTTGACGACAAATGTTATAGAATAAGAGATTTCAAAATTTTCTTTTTTCGAGATGATAATAGTTTCTACCTTAAATTTGTTTGGTACTTGAAAATATAAAAAGAAAAGGAGAGTAATCAGTCACTAACTGCTAGGCAAAATTTGGGCTCTTGACTTGTATTATATCGTGAGTTAGTCTCCTTTCCCCGAAACAAATAAAGCCCATAAGCATATGATTTTGGTTGATTAAAAAAGTCTTATTTAATATGTACATCTATGAATCTAGACATTCATGAATTTCATATTGGGGGGAAAAAAGAAACTGAATATGAGGGGAAAAATGTAGTTTCGACAAAAAGGATAAAAGATTAAAAAATGAAATTTGATAAATAAGTAATTTGGAGAAAGAAACAAAAGTTGCTGGAACATTTATTGTCTTTAACCCTAGTCAAATGAATTGATTTCTTGAACAACTATTATACTTATAAAATGAAATGTTCCATATATTCTTGGAAATTTTTCGTTATTAAGAACAGTTGTATTTTACACAGTTTGATAAAATGAAAGAACTCTAGCTAAGATGAAGACTACCAGGTCACATATCGCCCAACATTATAAAAAAGGTTGATGATGAGGAAATCAAATAATATGATTTAGAATAATGTTATCAAATCCCACTGGAGTTGCAATCCCAAATTCGGTAGCGTTAGATAATAGGTCAAATGAAAAGAGAAATCAAATGAGTTATTTAGTTCTACTTATCATTTAATGTTACATCAACACCACTTAAATTGGATTTGCAACCTCAGTAGAGCTAAATATCTTTACTTTATGATCTATCCAACTTCTTTGGTTCTCATCTGTGTCATTTGATTGAGACAAATTTGAAGCCGTTAATGTTGTAATAACATCGCAAATTTCAAGAAAAACAACAAGATCTAACAATTTATTTTCCCCACTCCCAAATTTAGCAAGTGTTAGCCATCGTTTATTATGTGCTATTTTTTAGTTAAATATTCAAAATATCCTTTCCTACCTTTGGAATTCCATATTCGAATGTGTAAGTTGTGGAGCCAATCATAGCCAAGTCAAGTGTCCATACTCACCGCTAGTCCATTCGATGAATCAAGCTACTTATGCTCAAAACTTTCGACGCCAACATAATATTTATCACTCTCAGATATATGATCAAAGTTGGAAGAATCATCTTAACTTCTCCTATAACAATATACAAAATATCTAAAATGCATCATATAACATAAATTATGATGTGAATAAGTGTTAAAGTTCGATTGAAATTCCGTGGGATATTTTTGGAATTGTTGAATTGGGAGTTGAAGAGGTCAAAATATGGACAAAGATGGAAAAGACGTCACATTGTCGCTAGCGGCCCGTTAGCTTATCGCTCAAGCAGTGGGACAAAATTTCCAGCAGAGAGCATGCTGTAGCTTGCCTAGCGCTCAAGGGCGTTCCCGTCGTTTGCTTACCACGAGCCTGTGCTCGAGTGTTGCGCTTGTCCAGTCCAAGACCGTTTTCTATATTCCACGCATTTTTGATGTTATTCAATCATCATGACTCTTATTAGGATTTGATGTGTACCCTTGTATTTAGATGGCTCTTCTTTGTAATTAGAACAAGTTAGACATTATTGTAAACACAATATACTTGTATTCTTTTTCCATATTATAGTGAATTCTCCTTTTCTCTACCAATTTCTTGGGTTGTTCTGTTGTCATCGCTACTTCAAATTATGCCATAAAATCTTGTTATTTTTTAACTAGTGGTGTTAGCGCTCATAACTACTTGGTTAGATTTGTTAATTATTAGCACTAAAGTTTAAGGTTTGATCTTGTGATGGTAATCATGAAGTATGATATTCCACTTTTGGGTCGCAATACTAGATTTTTGTTGTGACAGGGGAAGATGCGAAAGTGCTTGCTCATATGGATTTAGACAATACTTTGTTGGGATTTGACAAGATGCGCACAACTTAGACGATGGAGAAGAAATAATAAAACAATCAAGAGGCCCTTTCATAGATTCATTTTAATCTTTCGAATTATATTCTTTACAATGCTTTGAAGGAGAAAATTGAATCTACGTTATGGTTGAAGTTAGAGCAATTGTGTATGAATAAGAGTCTAACTAACAAATTGCACTTGAAGCAGCGTTTGTATTCTCATCTATGATAGAATATACATCCTTAGAAAATCACCTTGCCGTTTTTAAAGAAATTGTCGTTGATTAAGTAACCTTTGAGGTTAAGTATGATGAAAAGAATTTAGATTTGATTTTATTGTGTTCATTGCTCGCTTCATATATGTAGCTTAGAAACACAAAATAATAGTCGTGATACTATCATTGTTGAAGAAGTATATGATGTTTTGT